ACCACTCCTCTCATGATGTGAAAATGTGCCTGTGCATGAACGCGTCCCGAAATATCCTCCCCAGCCTCACTCTGCGCTCTGAAACCCTGTACCTCTCAGCACACCCTCGCTCTGAAACCCTGTACCTCTCAGCACACCCTCGCTCTGAAACCCTGTACCTCTCAGCACACCCTCGGTCCCCCCACATCCAGTTCTTTTGTTTTGGTTTTTTCTTTTAAGCCTTATTGCGAGATTTCATCTAGCACTTGCCCCAGTTGGTCCCACAGTTGAGTTTTTCATCTGCTGGCAAAGCTGTATCCTCTGTCACTGTCACCACAGACGGTTTCCGACAGTGGGCTCTGTCACTCAACAAAGAGCGGCATTGCTGGGCCCTAGGGCCTCCGCGCGCACATGACAAGATGTGCCAGTCCATCCACGCAAAAACGCACCCACGAGTGTTCGTAGAGATTTGCTGGTAAGAGAAAACCTGCATCACTAACAGCCGCTCTCCATCCCCCTGAACCTCCTGGCGCTCGGAACGCAAACACGAACTCCCGGCCATCAAGTCGGTAACGGCGCATGGCGACCCCACAGGCCGGGGTAGAACTGCCCTGTGGGTTTCTGAGACAGGAGTGGAAAGGCTCGTCTTTCTCCCTGGTGGCTTTGAACTGCTGACCATCGGCAACTGCTCATCCCCTCTCTACCTCGATGAAGACCCAAGGTGTCCGAGGAGTGGGATTGCTAGTCTCCGAGCAGAAGCCAGAGTGCTCCTCTCTCGCTCTCTCTCTTTCTCTCGCTCTCTCTGCTTGCTCCCCTGTGGGCTGGGCAGGCCCACCACTCTCTCTGGCCTGTGTCTTCAATGCTGTCCTCTGTAGTACATTCTACTGGGGAGGGGCCGACCCCACACACCTTTCTGTTACTTCCTACTTCATGCCGACATGTTGCCCTGCGGCTTGACGCCCCAGGTGGAGGTCTGGTCCCTTTCTCCTTTCCTAGGGAGACATGAAAAATACCCTCCTCCTGTGTGGGTTAGTTCTCTGTTACCCTACTACCCACGGCCTCCTTGTTAGATTTTTTTCTATTTCCCTCCTCCTTGTTTGTTGGCTGCCATCTGCATCCCTGGGTGGGGTCAAACCCCTGCCAGAGTGCCTGTACCTCGCCCTGGGAATTAATGCAGCTGGTGGCTTTTCTCTGGTCCCATTTGTGCTTTTTAAGCTTACCTCGGTGAACTCGTGTTGTACTTGTCCTTTTGTGCTTGGGCAGCAGTGTTATTAAGAGCCTCAAAGTGGAATAACCCAGATGTTCACCAACTGGTGAGTGTGGTGCACCTACCTATCCAGTGGACCGTGACTGTGTTTTTATGTAAATCACATGCTACATCTATTGTTTGTGGGTTGGTTTGAAAATTCCACAATCCCCTCAAGCATTGGTTTCCCACATACTCATTCACTGTGGGTGTCATAAATGGGATACTGAATGAGGAAAGGTAGAAATGTGGATCCCTTTGAGTTACCAAACCCAACTCCCTGCCCTTGAGTTGGTTCTGATTTCTGCAGGACAAGGTAGAACTGCCCTGATGGGTTTCTGAGACTGTAACTCTTTACAGGAGTAGGCAGCCTCCTCTTTGTCCAGCAGAGCAGCTGGTGGATTTGAACTGCTGACCTCAAAGTTAACCCCTAACACATAGCCCACCGTGCCCTCAGGGCTCCAGCACACAGTAGTAAGCCCTCCATTAAAAACAAAAACTATAGAAACAAACACTAACCACTGTACTTGAATCAGTTCCAACTCGGAGATCCTATAGCATTAGGCCGTGGGGTTTTTAAGGCTATACATCCTTATGAAACCATGTTCGAACTGCTGACTTTCCAGTTAGCAGCCATGCACTTAACCTCTATGCCACCAGGGCTCCCAATGGGCTCCATTTAAAATCCACTGCCATTACAGCACCGATGAAACACAGTATTGCTCTGGTTCCTTGAGACTTCCTCACCCCCCACTATCAGGAACCCAGCCCTGCCTTTCAGTTCTGGCTAGGCCGGAGCATGTACACTGGTACAGACAAGAGCTCATGACACACAGCATCCAGGTCAGATAACCCCCTCAGGAACAGAAATGGGAATAGTGATACCAGGAGAGTAGAGAAGGTGGGGAGAAGGAGGGAGGAAGCGGGAACCGATCACAACGATTGACATATAACCCCCCACCCAGGGGGACGAGCAATAGAAACGTGGGTGAAGGGAGACATCGGTCAATGTAAAGTATGAAAACAATAACTTCTCATTTATCAAGGGTTCACGAGGGTGAGAAGGAGGGGGAGGGAGGGGAAAAAGAGGAGCTGATGCCAAGAGCTCAGGTAGAAAGAAAGTGTTTTGAAAATGATGGTGGCAACCTGTGTACAGATGTGCTTGATACCATTGATACATGGGTTGTTGTAAAAGCCCCCAGTACAATGGTCTATAAAATAAAACCCACTGCCATCAAGTCAGTTTTGACACATAGCCCTGGTGGGCTACACATTGGGCTGCTAACCTTGTGGTCATCAGTTCAAGACCACTAGCTGCACCAAGGGAGAGAGACAAGGTCTACTCCCGTGAAGAGTTACAGTCTGGGAAACCCAGAGGGGCAGTCCTGCCCTGTCCTGTGTGGTCCCCGCGAGTCCAACAAGCTCTTTGGGGGTGAGCTAGTATTTGGCCTCCCTATTTCTATCCAAAAAAGAAAGGAGTCTTCCCAAGCCCAGCCACAACCTCTTGCGCCCAATCACGTATTCAACTAAAGCAAACTCTGGTAAAATCGAACCCCCCTCCCCAAGAAATAGGCTGCGGGACTCGGCTCTGGCTCCCAAGGGACCCCCAAGTCACGGGCACTTCTCTCCTCATCCCTCTGTGCAGGACTTTCCGGCCGGAAGCCCAACGTGATTGCTTTGCTGCAGAAAGGGCAGGCGCCCTGGCTGGGGGAGACGTCCTCGCAAAGACGCCGCCGTGCCGGTGAGTGAGAGGAGCCAGCCTCTGACCCAGGGACCCCCATGGGGTTCAGGCAGCCTCTGAGCTCAAGACTCCCGGTGTGATTCCCCCAGGTGGAGGATAGGAAATCAAAACAAAGCCCAGGGCTGTCTGGTCAGCTCAGACCGGGGCGACCTCACGTGTGAGACAGGGGTGGGGTGGGGTGCTCGATTGGGGTGTAAACCTGGAGGCCGGCCAGCCGGCCAGAATGCTCCTTGGAAGAGAGGCCGGCGAGACTTCGTCTCACATACTTTGGCTGTGTTACGAGGAAGAGGCAACCCCGGAGAAGTACATCCCGCAAGGTAAAGGGTCAAGGGCCAATGACAAGAGGAACAGAGAACCCAGGGACTTGCCCCGAGGTACACAGCAGGGAGGGTGGGAGGCAGAGGAGCCGGGTTTGGATTCCAAGAGACCTACACTCAGAAGTTCACCTCTTCACACCCTGGTGGCCCCCCTCCCACCGTAGTCCTCCCTACCTCTCTGGTTTCACGTGCCCCTCTGTCTCAGGAAAGGTGCGTTCTGAGGAGACTTCTAGTGGCCATGTTCAAGGTGACACAATGCCTCCCGTTCCATTAAAATAAGAAGCCATTTTCCATGCCTGTTCATTTGGGTGACCTTCCCATGACGTGGCCCGTTTTCTACTCGCTTCCTCTCTGCTTGGCCAGAGGAGCTGCTAAAGGGCTGCTAAACTGCAAGGTCAGCAGTTTGAAACCCCTGGGGAGAAAGATGAGGCCACCTGCCCTGTAAAGAGTGACAGTCCCCCAGGGGCCCGTCTACCCAGTCCTCGAGGATCCCCGTGGGCCGTTACTGACTCGGTGGCCTCAAGGGAGTTTGGTTGGCCAAGTTGCAGGTCCCCAGTATGTTTGCTTTCTCGCCATTGTCCCTGAACTGAGAGCCAGCACAGGTGCGGCAGCCAGGACAACGCTCGTGCTCGCTGGTGTTTCTCACCCCAGTGCTGTGGCCCGTCTGTCCATCCCTCGCTTTGAGGGTTTCCCTCATTTTTGCTGACCCTTCACTTAACCAACTTGCACCACGGGCCCTGATGGGCCTTCCCCGATGAAGTGCCCCAAATAAGCCAGGCGAAGAGCCACAGCCTCGCTCTTCATTCGTCAGCTGTCATGAATTACCGTCGTTTCTGATGGGACACCTCACCCATCCATGCTAAGAGCTAGGAGTCAGCCATGCTGGATAAGCCAGCAGCTCAGCACCCCAGCTTGGGCATCTGACTGACTAAGGGCCTAGCTGCCACGATGCCTGTGGGGGTCGGTGTGGCAGCCACGCCTGACCTCCTCTGACTTCCCAGGGAGGAAGGAGAATCAGTCATCAGCCCGTGGCCACTCTCCGGGGCTAAGATCAGTCACATCCCCACCCTCCAACCTCGCTCATCAATTCTGACACCCCCCTCCCCACCAAGGCGCACTCTGCTTCTCACTGGGCCCCAGAAGCCATAGCAGTGGCCACACAGGACTCACGGACAAGTCACAGTTTATTACGGAAATTAACAGTCCATTTTGTTCTGGCTTTTAATGTTTCCTAATCCCTTTGCGATTGAGGTTTCTCTCTGGTTGGTTTGTTTGGGGTGTTTTCCAGTGTATGAAATTCAGGAGAGGTAAATCTGCAAAGAGAGGAATCGGATGAATGCCTGTTGGGGCCGGGGAGGGGAGGTGGGAGGGAAGTGGAGAGCTAGCAAGGAGCAAGAAGGTAGAGAATGTTCTGGAACCGACTGTGGTGACATTTGTGCCACTCTTTTTGATAGGAGCGACTATAGAAGTCCGTGATATGTGGACTATATGTCAGTAAAACTATTCTTAAACGCGTTCCAGCATCCTTCCCCCGCCTACGTTCCAATTTTTAAAATGGTTCAAATAAATTAAAATGTCGTGTTATCTGCTTTAAATAGTGAATATCTGGTTTAAATTAGTGAAACTAAATTTAGCCACGTACCCAATGAGGCTTCCCACGCTTGCAAGAGTCAGTCGTGCAGACGCACGGGCGCACTTCCCACGCTTACAAGAGAGTCAGTCGTGCAGACGCACGTGCGCACTTCCCACGCTTACAAGAGTCAGTCGTGCAGACGCACGGGCGCACTTCCCACGCTTACAAGAGTCAGTCGTGCAGACACACGGGCGCACTTCCCACGCTTACAAGAGAGTCAGTCGTGCAGACGCACGGGCGCAGTTCTGCTCTGCTGTTGCTGAGCCAGCACAGCGGATCTGTGTCTCCTTGATGTATGAGTTTGTTTTGGGGGTTTGTTTGTTTGTGTTTTGGGTTAGCCTAGCATATTCAGAATACTACCATGTCGACATGCACAGCCCCGCCTCCTGTATTTATAGCGCTTGCTTGTGTTCCCGGTGTCTCACTGGGTTTCACAGATGTCACTTGTCCCAGCAACCCACCCCCAGGGCTTGCCCTGCTAGTGGAAGGTCTGAGGCCACCCTGCATCAAACGTGCTCTGTCGAGCCTGGCCCGTTCATTCATTCAGTACAATGTTTCGTCTGTGCACACACCTATAAGTAGCCCATCTAAGAGGAGGGAGTTTCACTTTTTAAAAAAAATTTTAAATGCTTTCCTTTTTTTTCTCCCTTGCCTTAGGACACTGGTTCTCCACCGCCCTAATGCCATGGCCGTTTAGTACAGTTCCTCATGTGGTGGTGACCCCCAAACCATAACATTATTTTCGTTGCTACTTCATCACTGTCATTTTGGTACTGTTATGAAGCGTCATGTAAATATCTGATAGACATGATGTTTTTCATTGCTACAGATTTAAACATAATTAAAGCATAGTGATTAATCACAAAACAATATGTCACTATAGATTGTGAAATATGTATGTGTTTTCTGATGGTCTTAAGCAACCCCTGTGAAAGGATCGTTCCACCCCCAAAGGGGTCACGACCCACAGGTTGAGAACCGCTGCCTAGGACCTCAGAATAATAATAATATACAGCAAAAAAGAAGACACTGATCTTTGTTGTTGTTTTTGTTTTTTTTAAATCATTTTATTGGGGCATGTACAACTCTTATCACAATCCATACATACATCAATTGTGTAAAGCACATTTGTTCATTTGTTGCCATCATCATTCTCAAAACAGTTGCTCTCCACTTAAGCCCCTGGCATCAGCTCCTCATTTTTGCCCCCTCCCTCATGAACCCTTGATAATTTATAAATTAATATTTTGCCATATCTTACACTGTCTAACGTCTCCCTTCACCCACTTTTCTGTTGTCCATCCCCCAGGGAGGAGGTTATATGTAGATCCTTGTAATCTGTTCCCCCTCTCTACCCCACCCTCCCCCACACCCTCCCAGTATTTCCACTCTCACCAGTGGTCCTGAAGGGATCATCTGTCCTGGATTCCCTGTGTTTCCAGTTCCTATCTGTACCAGTGTACATCCTCTGGTGTAGCCGGATTTGTAAGGTAGAATTGGGATCGTGATAGTTAGGTTGGGGGGTAGGGGGAGGAAGCATTTAAGAACTAGAAGAAAGTTGTATGTTTCATCGTTGCTACACTGCACCCTGACTGGCTCATCTCCTCCCTGCGACCCTTCTGTAAGGGGATGTCCAGTTGCCTACAGATGGGCTTTGGGTTCCCACTCCACACTCCTCTCATTCACAATGATATGATTTTTGTTCTTTGATGCCTGATAACTGATCCCTTCGGCACCTTGTGATCACACAGGCTGGTGTGCTTCTTCCATGTGGGCTTTGTTGCTTCTGAGCTAGATGGCCACTTGTTTACCTTCAAGTCTTTAAAACCCCAGTGCTTTATCTTTTTATAGCCGGGCTCCATCAGTTTTCTTCACCACATTTGCTTATGCATCCATTTGTCTTCAGCGGTTGGAAGACACAAATCTTTATGTTTGTCAGTCTTAGAAATCTTCCAGTACTTTGCCATTTACCATTCTGAAACTTACTATAGTCTTATAAGAAATGTTCTATGTCATAAAAAAAGAAATGTTCTATGTCAAGAGTTTGTTTCCTTCTCATCCTATTTTGCTGAGAATTTGGTTTTCTCTGTTTTTTCAATGTATAGATGAATTTTATTAACTGCCTTTTCCATGTTCTCTGATATTCTTATGCAATCATTGTTTCATTTTGATAATCTGGTGATTCATATTGATTTATTTTAAAATGTTAAACAAGAATAAATCAATATGCTAGTGATAAACATTTTTTAATTTTTAAAACATTCACCTATGGTAGAAAAAGTTGAGTTTTCCAATGGCACGTGATCACTCTGTGTCTCGGTCACTCACACTAAGTATTTCCAACTATCTTAAAATGCTCTTCTACACTTAATAGATTACAATGCAGCTTTAAGCTTTCATGTGTATCGGGAAAGCAAACAAATCCATGTGGCTCAGCAGCCATATTTGTTCTATGTCTGGAATCAAACCCACAGTCATTTCAAGGTGTGTCTAATCAGTACTTTTAAGATGAGATGTTTCATGTTCTTTTGAAAAATTGTTTTAGAACTGTCTTCATAGTGCAGTGTGTATATTACTCTCATCAGACCCATAGCTGTCACACTGATTCCAGTTCATAGTAATCCTATGGGACAGGTTGAACTGCCCCATGGGTTTTTCTAGGCGGTAGTCTTGGTGTGTGTAAATCACTAGGTCTTTACTCCCATGGGTTCAAACCTGTGGCACCTGTGGCACATTAGCCCTGTGGACTAATTTGTTGCATGCATCTCAGATCTTCTTTACTCTTCTTTCTTCTGATGACCAAAGATTAATAAAATGGCCCCTTAGCTGGCCACTCACAAGATTATTAGACCCTAGGTAGTAGTTACCAGAGTAAGATATAAAATATTGCCTTTGTGGACTGCTATGCCGATTGAATTTTATGTCACCCAAGACGTGAGCCTCAGGCATTATGGATTTTAAGAATATATTTTAATTTTATAACTTTATGTGTACCCATCAGCATCATCCAGTTTCAGAAATTTTCATCACCCCCAATAAGATCCCTTTATTGTTTGTCCCCATTCCCACCTCTAGACCCAAGCAACCATTAATCTACATCCTATAGATTCGCCTTTTCTGGACATCTTATGTAACAATGGTACATTTACCTAATAAGCTATATGAGGAGTCCAGTGAGGTACAAGATGTAAACTATATCCTTTGTTTTAAAACTTTGTTTCTTTCTCAAATTGAAGCACTCCTAAATTCCAGTTATTAGCAGTTTCTGTATGCCCATGGGTATAGCAAAAATAATCATAAATACTAAAAAGTTACCATTCTGTTATTAAAGTTGTTATTGTTATGATTGTTAATGCCTCCATGTATATTCTGGAAGTTTTTGTTTTGTTTTTTTCAACACAGAAACAGAAACGTTTTGTTTATTTGTTTGTTTATGTCTTTCAGACTCAGGGTCTACATCTAAGGCAAAGAAGTCAGCCCAAAATCAGAGCAGCAAAGCTGGGCAAAGCATTCATCAGAAAAAGAAAGTTTCCATAAGAAAGAAGGGCTACATCATTTCGATCATAATAAAATCTGCGAAAGGACGTCCGGAGAAGAAATCTTTAAAGTGTAGTGACTGTGAGAAAACCTTCAATTGGAGCTTATCTCTCCAACTTCATCAGATCACCCACACTAGGGAGAAGCCTTATGAGTGCAGTGATTGTAAGAAAGCTTTCAAGCGAATCTCTTCCCTCCTCCTTCACCAGAGAGTTCACAGGGGGAAGACAAGTTATGATTGTGGCAAATGTGGGAGGCACTTCAATCAAAGGGCAACCCTTCATCTGCATGAGAAAATTCGTCACGGAAAGGAAACCTCAGATTGTGGGAAGGCAGTCAGCCAATGCCCATCTCTCAGCATTGCTCGTAAAATTCACATTGTTGAGAAGGCTCACCAGTGCAAAACATGCGGGAAAGCGTTTAATCGGATGTCATCAGTTTTACTTCATAAGAAAATCCACAATAGAAAGAAAATCCACAAATGCCGTCAATGTGGGAAACGTTTCAGAAAGAAGTCAGCCCTTCTTAACCACAAGAGAAGTCATACTGGAAAGAAAACCCTTAAAAGTAAGAAAGCCTTAAGTGAGAGCCGAAAGCAGAAGGGGCTCTCTTTAGAGAATCCCTACAAATGCAGAAAGTGTTTGAAATCCTTTTGTAAGATTTCATCGCTTCTGCTTCATCAGAGAGTTCATGCTTCAGAGAAATCCAACAAATGTGACAAATGTGAGAAGGTCTTCGAGCGGCTCTCAGGCTTTATTCTGCATCTGAAAATTCATAGCGAGAAAATATACAAGTGCAATAAATGTGATAAGATCTGCACCCGGCATACGGCCCTCATTCAACACCAGAAAGTTCATGCGAAGAAAAAGAAACGAATTGAATGTAAGGAATGTGGGAAGATGTTTTCTGGAATGGCAAATCTTAAAATACATCAAAATATTCATTCTGAAGAGAAACCTTTCAAATGCAATAAATGCAGTAAGGTTTTTGGCCGCCAATCATTTCTGATTGAGCATCAGAGAATTCATACTGGAGAAAAACCCTACCACTGTGAGGAATGTGGGAAAGCTTTCAGCCACCGAATATCCCTCACTCGACACAAGAGGATTCACTCTGAAGATAGACCCTATGAATGTGATCAATGTGGGAAAGCCTTCAGCCAGAGCGCACACCTTGCCCAGCACGAAAGAATTCACACTGGAGAGAAACCGTACACATGCAAAACATGTGGGAAAGCCTTTAGTCAGCGTACATCCCTTATTCTGCATGAAAGAAGTCACACGGGGGAGAAACCCTATGAATGTCCGGAGTGTGGCAAGGCATTTAGCAGTGGCTCAGATCTCATCCGCCATCAGAGAAGTCATTCTTCGGAGAAACCCTATGAATGTAGTAAATGTGGGAAGGCGTATAGTCGGAGCTCGTCCCTTATTCGACATCAGAATTCACACTCTGAAGAAAAAGCCTAGGCTGTTTTAAATCTGTGAAATTGAAGGCTGAGGATACCCCCCCCCCCCCAAGAAGCAGGGATCGAGGCAAGGGAAAAGTGTAGTTACAACAAATGTTTGTGCGTACGGGATCATCTCATAAGTGCCCTGCTTTGAAAGTGCAGATGTGACTGGTGACTCTTGACCTGATGATTTGAAATCAGCTGACCTCATCACAGATTTTCAGTCTCAAAGTAGCATGTTGGTGGGATTAGATCAGTCATTGTGATGGAAAAGCCTTCTTTGTTCGATAAAAAAAAAATTACTAATGTTCTCTTTCCAGTGTCGTTTAAAAGCTATTTCATTGGTTGTGTCCAACAAAGTGGAATTGTGATATCATTCTTGCATACGGGGCTTTGAGGCTAACTTTTAGCGTCACATGAAGAGAATTTGCATCTGTTCCTCAGAACCTTGTTAGGTGCTGTCGAGTCAGTTCTGACCCATAGTAACCCTGTGTCCCACAGAAGGAAGCACTGCCGGCCCTACGCCATCCTCACAATTGTTGCTGTATCTGAGCCCATTGTTGCAGTCACTGTGTCAATTCATCTCGTTGAGGGTCTTCCTCTTTCTCATTGACCCTCTACCAATACCAAGCATGATGTCTTTCTCCAAGGAGTGGTCCCTCCTCAGATGTAAAGGACTTCCTGGCAAACCAGGGTGCCACTGTCAGCCTACAGAACCCTGTGGGTGAAAAGAAAGAAGAATGTGTCAAGGTGGCTAAAGTGAGCGCTCAGAATGCTGTGAGCCGCAAGAGTGACTGTCTTACAGTTGCCTTGAGTCTGAGGGTATATGAACTTCGTCGTGTGAAGATTCAGCGTGGTGGAGAGAGAGGTCAATGGAGAAAGAACCAGGAAGTACCGAAGAACGAGAAACCTAAGTGCAGGGAGAAAATTATTTGATAGTGTTTTATGTGAAAGTAAGTTGTCTATATTTATATGAATAAATACATAGGTATGCATAACTTAATGTCCCATTGAGTGATGTCTGACCACATGTACAAGCATGGACAGAGGCACCCTGGTATCTGAGTGCTAGGATACCAGACCCCCATCGTAAGTGGAAACCCTCCTTCTTTCTAGCTGCCACTCATGGCCCAGAGTCACCCAGTCTTCAACAATGGAGACCCAGGCCAAACTCCAGCCCTTTGCTCCCTTGACTCCCATGACTTGGTGCATCTGGTCCCCAAGTTTTGCCTGGTGTGGCCCTATGGGGCCCAGATGGAAAAGTATGTAACCTGGGCATCTCAGCCCTGACTCGGGCACCTCAGCCCCCTTGGCCTGCACCATCCCTACCTTAGGCAGGTTCTCACAAAAAAGGTGGCCTTCAATGCGGCCTGCTTAGTAGAGAAGACAGTGACAGTGGGAGGGGCTTAGTGGACTGAACATTGACCTGAAGTCTGAAATGGGAGCCAGTGTACCTGAGATTCCCCCACATCCCACAGACATAGGTGTTGCACAAAGTCTAAATCACATAACGTGGTGGACATTAAGTGATGTGTGCCTGTATTGTTATTTTTGATGTAAGAACACTGTGATAGAATATAGATTAAAAAAACTGGATTTGTATACATGGCTATTTTCCTGTCAAATGTTCAATATATGTAATCACTTTCAGTGCCTCTTTCTTGTGTAAAATCTCTAAGAAATAAAATCAGAGTGTTGTTTTGTTTCACAATTGGGCTGTGCAGTTGGGCTCTTCTTTCTAAGTGTCCCTTCCACAAAGGTGCTTTTTGAGAACATCCGTAGCTGCTATGAGTAAAGATAACTGCAGGAAAGAGGGCCACATGGATTAGGCCTGTCTACCCATGACCACCGTTGAGAAAATGGCAGCCAAAATTCTGAGGGGTGAGCATGCACACAGGAGAATGGATGTACCAAATTCTCATGTAAATGTTATCACATCACATCTGTAGATGGGCAGACACACGAGGTCTGTATGTTCTCCTTTCCTTCACACACACACACACACACACACACGTGAATTAGCTTGCCAGAGAGGTGGGTTCCAAATTGATGCCAGTACACCTGAGAGTTGAGGTGCAAAATCATGCCCCGCTCACAGTCACTCATCATTCTTATCCCATTGGCCTGCGTCTCATCTCAATAGAACGACACACACTTTGGAAAGGGCTTACCCTTCATTTCGTTTCGGAAGATAAAACATAGTATCAAAACCCACCCTCTGCTGTTGAGATGATTCGTAGTGACCTCGAGATTGGATTTTGGAGACTGATAAGCTCATATTTCTGTATGGAGTGGCTGGTGGGTTTGAACCAATGGTGAGGTTAACTCTCCAACCTTTTCCTGACAGCCCCACCAGGGTGCAAGACCCAAACCAGACCCACTGCTGTGGAGGCAATTTCAACTCTCAGCCACCCCACAGGCCCGAGTAGACCTGCCCCCCTGGGTTTCCGAGACTGCCAATCTTTACTCATCTTTCTCCCACGGAGTGCCTACTAGTTTCAAACTGCTGGTCTCACGAGTCATCCACTACACCACCAGGGATGCTTCCAGGGCTCACACAGTGGGACAGTAGAAGTGATCTACAGAGTTTCCGTGACTGTTAGGTCATTACAGGAGCAGGCCGTCTACTCTTTCTCCCTTGGGGCAGCTAGTGGATTGGAACCACTGACCCTGCCGTGCTCCATCCTCCGTGCTTAATCCTCTGCACCACCTGGGATCCTTGTATCACAAAGTATGCCTTTTATTAGATATTACCGAATTGCCCTTCCTAGCATCAGTTAGGTGTCAATAGTGGAGAGAGGTTTCTAGGGGAATTTTATGGACGTTGGCTCAGTGTGGAGCACTGGTGGCATAGTAGGGGACCACAAAAGGAATTCCTGATCCGGCTCAACCACTTCTTGTTGCCTTATTTTCCAGACTTTTATTGGTCCGTATCTGACCTCCTCTGGCTTCCTTGTTGCCACAAGTCAGGGGTCAGACATGCCTTCACCCTCCATCCTTCTTTACCTACTCCAACACCACGCCTCTCTACTTCTATGCTGAGCTTGGTAATGCATTGCCATGGCCACACAGAACTCACGGGCAATACTCACAATGAATGGGCTTATTAGGGAAGCTAATAGCTCACCACGAGTCAAAGCCAGCAAACAGTAAGGATACAGCAACACCTCTGCTCAGCCAGCAGCCAAGTCTCTCTCTGGTCCTTAGCCTCTCAGCCACGTAGTCCTTTGGCCTTCACCTCCATGGCCAGGAAGCCAGCCTGCCTGTTGCTCTGCCTCACAGTCCCATCATCTCGGGCCAGATGAGGAGAAGGTGCCCCATCGTCTCAGCAAGGCTCCCTGCGCCTCCATGCCACAGTCTCTTGACACGTCAGTTACGCCAACATCCGCCCCTTCAGTCACAGATCTTACACCTGCTCTTCCAGTGGTCCTGGGTCTCTCTGTCCCAGATGGTTCTTACACAATGAGAAATGGCTTTATGGAGGTGATGGTTTTGTCTTTCAGCAGATCCCCCCTACCCAGGAATACCAAGGATAGTGCCCTAAGTCACACCCTTTATGAAAGCAGTCTTGAAGTCTTCCCTCCCAGGAGTAGTGTGACTTGGTTCACACTTGTGGGAGCCAGCGCACATCCGGATGGGTCCTGGGGGATGGTTGTGAAATTGAAAGGAATATTGAAACAGACATCAGACAAAGCACGCAACGACACACCTGTTCCATCGCAGCAGGGACCAGAAAGAGTGCATTCTTTCACCAACATATATTCTTGGGCATGTGAGCACCCCCCTCCCAAACAGACACCTACCTATGTATCTTAACCCTGGAGGTCCCTGAATTCATTGAGGGAGTAACCTAACTCCAGTGCTGGGGGCAGGTAAGGGGGTGACTGTCCCCTGAACAGGGAGAGCAGTAGCAACGTGTCTGCTCCGACATGTAAAGCTGTAGGTCGGATAGTCACTAGCCATGTGCTTTTAAGTGGTATCATTAAAGTAGCACGGTAATGGGAGGATATTGTGGGGGTTATTTTTTAAGTAGGAAAATGTGACTGAGACTGATCTCCAACTCACAAATGTGAAGGCCTCCCTCCACCCAGAATCCTAGCCTTCCGGGTTTATTAATCATGAGAATAAGGAATTTATCCCCACACACTCTCTTCCCAGTCCTCAGTGTCCCACACTCACCCTCTACTAAGTGTAAGGTCGAGAGAAGAGACTCAGTTCAGTCATGAGGGCAGGTGAGTTTCTCGCCTGGAGGCAGATGGACTGAGACAGGACAGCGCATCAGCTCGGGCTGAGGTTGTAACAGGCATCAGCCCGAGCTCAGGGACTAGTGCCGTTATGTACTGTACAGAGATGAGGACTGGGCTTGGCCCCTCTGGGGTGGAAAATACATGCTGAGGCCTGTTTAATCAACCAGTGTGTTAGTCCGAGTAGAGACTAGAGAAACAAATTCATAGACACTCGTATGTGTATAAGAAAGAGCTTTATATAAAAAAGTAATTGTATATTAAGGAAACATCCCAGCCCAGTCCAGATCAAATCCATAAGTCCGATATTAGCCCATATGTCCAATAACAGTCTATAAAGTCCTCTTCAGACTCATGAAACACATGCAATGATGCTGAATACAGGAAAATCACAGGCCAATGGGTGGAAAGTATTATAGATCTAGTGGTGGTAGGCAGTTCTCGGTGCTGGTGTGGATCTCCACCTGGTTCCTCTAGCTCCAGGGCTCCGGTTCCAACAGGGGCCTCCATGTGGCTTGTCAGCAGGAAGACAACGAGAGCGTCTGTGTGTATCTGGCCCTCCAACAGCTATTCGTCTCCACCACACCTCCAAATGAGGTCATCAAGCTGAGACCTGATTGACAGACTAGACTCCGCCCCTTCACAAGTTGACAGGAGACTAGGTAACTGCCACAACCAGCGTCACGAGCGCTCCAGGTCACCCCTTTTGGTTGTCATCATTTGTGCTTCGCTGATACCTTCATGGTCGTCACTGCCCTTGGTTTGTGAAAGGTAGTCGAGAGGCACCAGAGACCAAATCAGTCGAATTAGAACCAACAGGCTTTATTAGGGAGAAAAAAACAGCCTGGGCGAAGGCTCACAGTCCACAACGTCCGGGCTGGGGGAGTCGCACTGCAGGCTACAGGGGTGATGCTTATATATGGACATGTATGTCCGGGTTTCTGAATGTAAGGTGTCTTCCTGGTTCCGGGTGTATTCGTGCTGGATGCAGAGTGGAGGGTCAAGAGCAAAGTGGGCACTGAGCCAAACGGGCCGTGAACAAAATGGGCAGTGAGCAAAACTGGCCGTGAATAAAAGAAAGAAAAAAAACTTTTAAAGGTGCTTTACATTAGCCAGCTCTGGTCAGCTCCACAGGTGTGTGTGGGAGATTCAAGGTCACTTGCTGCTAGTTGTTTCAGCCAACTCTGGTCAGCTGTGCACGGGTGGAGGAGATTCAAGGTCCCGTCAGACAGTTTGCTGGTTTCTGACAAAGGCATATTCTGTCCTGTGTGTGGGGAAC